GTTTAAGAGGTTTTTGAGGTTGTTGTTCATTATGCTGTTTAAGAGGTTTTTACCCCTTGCTGTGACCAGTCTGCTGCCCCATTGGATGTACTTGGCGTTATAGTCTCCTCCAGCTATGAATCTATTGCCCAGGGTGTCCAGGAAGTGATCAAAGTCTTCTTTGGCGATGGAGTGTCTGGGAGGGCAGTATACTGCTGAAGTGGTCTTCTACTGCTACGTTTGTTGCTTGAAGGTAGTGTGGCGAATCGCAACGCAAAATAAAAACAAGACGCATAGCTCTATGGAATGCCAACGGTCTAGCGCAACACAAATTTGAACTAGAACTCTTCCTAAAACACCAGCAAATTGCTCGTAATGCTCGTATCGGAAACCCACTTCACCGACAAAAACTGTCTGAAAATAAATGGTTACAAATTCTACCATACCCAACACCCCAGCGGAAAGACTCACGGCGGCACCGGAATCATAATCAAATCAAGCATTAAGCACTACGAACTTCCACACTTACTACTGTGATATATGAAAAGAGAGTTTTGCGTTTCGTCCCGGGACTACCGGTGGACTTGTCAGTAAGGCCTGCCTTAGACGTAGAAGGAGTCTCGCTAGGTGCGGTATTTGTATCAATCGCTCGTATATTCGACCGCTAGCTAGTTAGACAGACTCGTTGTCGTCGTAGCCCTCTAGGGTTGGCGGTTGGTACCAGCGGATTACCCGGGAGGTGTTGCACCACGTTGATGCCTCGACCTGTCGGCGTCCTGTTGATACCGATCCGCCACAGTACCATGTGCGCTGGTTGGGCGTATCCCAACTCCGATGGCTTCTGGGGTTGCCCGGGTGCTGTATGGATTCTATATCCGAGGAAAGTACCCATCACCAAGAATCCACACTACGTTCCGGTGGTGATTGGGGTTCTGGTTCTGATTGTAGTATACTGAATCTGTTTTTTGTTATGATTGCTGGAGGTGAGGTAGCTCTTATGGGCTTCATGTTTTTGATTTCTTTAGCCTTTTCTTCTTGGGTGGAATGATAACCTTCGTCTGTGTTTTCTAGGTTGTTTTCTAGTCTTTTCGTCCTGGCAACCAGGTTTGGTTGTGGGTTGAGTTTCCGTGTCTTTTGCGCGGAAAGTCTTAAACTATTGTTGATTTCTTTGGCTGTTTTTTGTGTGATTATAAAATTTATTGTATGAATCCAACAGAGTAACGGTTCAGAGGGTTATAATAAAGAGCTATCGAACGCTGATTTGGGAGAGTTCTTATACTGAGGTTTTAGTCCCTCTAAAGGAATCCGTTACTATCTGATTATTGTTTCGATAGCTGTGGCATGTAGGATGTTTTGTCTACTCTATTACTGCTTCTGAGCGTGTAACGCTGTCGACGATTCGCCTGGGAGTGATTATACATTGAGTAAAGGTATAGCCTGAGTTGGAGTTTTGAAGGTTAGGATAATCGAAATAATTCATAGTCATGGTAATATTTTTACTAATTTATTTTGTTGTCTTTTATAGACCACTGCAATGAGAAAAGAATTCCTGAAGCCAAAGAAAATGATACATCCAAACAGCAGAAAGTCGCTATTACGAAAAAAGCCAAAAAGTAAATACAATTACTATTAAATTATGTGATTTTGTTGTGTACATTTCATTTATTTTATATGATTATATAATACTTTTGTGAACTAAAGAAGGAAATGGACAATGTGTTTTGTTTCAGAATATCATGTAGAAAGAAGGCAAAAATGTCCGGTTGATAGAACAGAATTCAATAGGAGAAAAAATATCGTGGATCAGAAACAATATGATTCCAGGTGTGTGCCCCTATACTCCAGAGTTAAGTGTGAGTTTGTTAGAAACGGAGGTAAAACAAAGATGTATGTACATGATGATACAGAGATTGTACATTAAAGATGTGATTAGTTATAATTCTGTTTGATCCAAAGGTACGTAGCAAGAAATGATGAAGAAATGCAACAAATTACTATTAAAAGATCTATAGGTAGCAACAGGAGTAGACAGCATGCTAGGAGGGAACATATAATTCGAGTAGAAAGAACTAGGAGAATATCATACATGTGGAATAGGTAAAGAATTACAGCCAAATTTATTTTCAATATATCCTGATGTACAAACCCTCCTTTATTTTTCAGAAATTTTTGATATTTTAAATGCAACTCAGTGTGAAATGTTAATGAATTGGAATAATGAATTACAGTGTGTGAATAATTTTAAATTTATAAGGTTTGGGGAGAGAGATTTAAACAAAATATAAAAGCTAGGAAAAAAATGAAAGTAAGTCATTTTAGACTATCCAAATCTCTATTAGTTATGCCTGTAAACAAGAATAATTTATTAAGCAAGCCAATTGATTCAAATGAAAATAATTAATCGACAGAATGTGTAATGGAAATAGAATAAATTCTGTAGATATACGTCTTTTTTACTTTCACCTCTATTTAAAAAGAAGAAAATAGAAGAAAAGCGAACAGTTTCGTCCTTTTTTGTTTGCGAAATGCTAGAAACCGCATTACGTCTTGCTCTTATCTCTCATGAGAAACAGTCACGTCACAAAATACAAGAGTACGATAGAAGAGAAAAGAAAATGTTCGATTGTGAAATATACAACAAAACTGAAACATGCAGATGAATCACGTGCACGTTATGAATATTCTGCATCGTTTCTCCGCCTTTCCTTCATTTTTTTCGCTAGCTGCTCCATTATTTAAGAACGAAGATATAGTAATTACCCTCAAAGTTGTACATTTCGAAATGGTAAGAAAATCAATAGTACAATGATAAATATACGATTTTGAAAGCTTTTTAAATTTCTTACATACTTAGAATTAATCCAATAGCTTAGTATATAAGAGAGTGTGGTTATGTCGCATGTTATAAATGCAACTGCGTTCGTTAGAACAATTCCAATTCCAAGGAATTTCTCTCGAGGATCGCGGTGAAGAATTTGCTTTGTTAAATTATTACTGGTATACTTCGTCAACTTGTATATCGATACAACTTGTTAACCATCACTTTTAGTAGCTTCTCGCTAATAAAAACATTTCGTAACTATTTAATAAGAAGCAGTATATTCTTGGTTATTTAGAAATTTACTTAATGATACGAAACAATACGTTTAAAAATACGAATATGTTTAAAAATTATAATGCAAATATATATATTTCATTTCATGTTTTACTAATATATCTCTAATTTAGATTAAATATCTGAAACTTGAAAGAAATTTTTAAAACTTTCAATACATCACAATAAGCATACAATATTTCATATTTCGCTTGTAACAGGAATTTGTAATTATCTGTCTTCACATAATTCGCATTTCAAAATCATGATGAACAATATGTTCATTCTGAAAATATTTGTTAAAATACAAGATTTTCTTAAAGAAATCATGTTTGTTGATGTACGCATATATACTTGTGCACTTTAGTGTTCAAATTCTTATAGTTATCTGGTTTGAAAAAGTTCAGTTCATCAGTTCGTAAAATGTAAGAAAATTTTTACGGCGTTTGGTATTTCAATTTCTCGCGTGCATTGCATAGAAACAAAGCCTCGCCGCCTCAGCCAATCAAGAATCGACTAGGCTCACTTTTAGTGGGATACCACCATTCTACGATCGAAGAGCGAGACTTTTTTCTGTTTTTCTCCATTGGTAGACCACTTGATCGTTTTTATTACCGGTGGCTTGTATCATAGACTTTTGAAACACAAGTTCGAGATAAGTTTATTTAAATCTTTGATTTTGTTTTGTACAGTTCATTGATTAATTGCAGAATTGAATAATCTAATAATTAGCATTCTATTCCATGCTTTTTCATACAGTAATGTTTAGTAACGTTTCATTTACGATATACACATTTATGATATGACAATCATATATACTATATGTCGGAGATGAAAGGAAAACTGAAGCCTTCCCTTTGCAATTTTGAGGAAGCCTTCTAATGCTTTAGCTCGATTTCATCATAGCTGTAATTAAGCAATTGTCATTTATAATTGTTTGATATTTGTGAAAGCGAAAGTGGGTTCGAGGTGACAACTGGTCGCTGAACGTAGCCACGGTCACGGGATAAACGTTTTGCCTGACGAAGGTGTGGATCGGTTGTATTGTTCTCTCTAGAAATCACATAGAATTGTACTTTGGAGATGTCGATATAATGGGACACACGTTGTATTAGGAATCAAACTCCAGACAGAAACTGCCTAGCAACGGCGTTTGGATCTTTCTCGATGCTTCCAAAGAGTATACAACAAACTTTTGACAGAAACTGCCTAGAAACCTGACGATTGGAACCTTCTCGATGCCTCCAGCTAGCATATAACAAACAAATGCAGTCGTATAGCGAAAAAGATTTTCATCAGATATTCATTCGTGTGATCGCCTTGGAAAGTGATACATCGAGCAATTTACCGAGTGTCTCAGCAATCGTATTTTTTTGTGTTTAAAATTATTCTACGCATAGTAAAGAGTTATCCCGTTGACCGTGGATTCGTTCGAACCCAGGAACATTGTTAATAGTGTTAATTAAATTCATTATTCGTTAAATTTATTATTCGTAAAACATATTATTCGTTACTCTTATTATTCGTTAAACTTATTATTCTTTAATCTAATCATTAGTTAAACTTATCGTTTGTTAATCTTATCATTCATTAAACTCATTATTCATAATATTTTGTGAAATCTTGTATAATCGCTTAAATATAATCTTTGTTCCGTAAAACAATGGCTAATTCAGACGAAGAATCGTTACGCGCCTTAAATCCTAATGATAACCTAACATATATATATCAATCGTATAAATATGCACATAGACATGCAATATTTAACTTAATATGACGAAATTATACGTAATTCTATAATTTCTCTAAAAGATAACAAGGTGGAACTAGACGTAATTAGATAAAAAATCATTACTTTTAGAGAGTGTTTAAATATCATCAACGTTTTTTTATTGTAAATAATTTTTTTCCTCGAGCTGTACTACAAAATAGAGTTTTGAACAATTCGATAAAATAATGAATACATTGTCAATTGAAATTAACATAAAAGTTGAAATATCTCATATATTATATGAATTGTAAATTCTCGACGAGAACATCGCAGCGTCACTAAATCTTTGTCAACAACTTTTTGTTTTCACGAGACCTCTACAATACCAGACACGTGCAAACACATATACAAAACATATCCTTGAGTGTTCCAGGAATTTGGCGAATTCTATTCGTGTATGTATGGACAGCCGACAACTCTAGCCCCCTACTCCTCCCTAACCCAAAACTGGTCGGGTAAATCGCAGCATGGGATGTCAGTTTAGCATAGACAATCAGAGGAATCAGACGTATATCCATCCGTGTCATTTCGCGACAGGTGGCTTTGGCACTTTGGTAGACATTTTTCTACCGTTCAAAGACTTGTTTAAGACTTGTGACAATGAGCTTGGGCTCAAGGCGACAATTAGTCGCCGAACGTAGCCGCGGTCAACGGGACGAACTCTCCATCTAACAAAGGCATTGAGTAACCCTATAGCTCTCCTTAAAAGAAAGATTTGTAGCGGCACGTGGCAGTAAACATTTCAACGGTTTCTGTCCCGTAGCTCGCCACACGCAGATCCTATTCTCCGGGCAGGATGTTTACCAGATGTCGACCCGTTATAAATTTTAAGATTTAGTCTACTAAAATCCTTCAAACAGACAAACAGTTTTTGTCCCAACTACGGGAAAATAGGGGAGACCTATTTTTCAACGAGCGGCGTCTCTCGCTAGCTACTTTCCCTTGAGGGCGGCTAGCATCTTTTTCTAACCACCGATATGGACATTGACCAATTAGCAGCAATGCCAATTTCCCTTACTTTCTGAACGAAGGCTTTTCTCGACGAATCCGATGATCTCGTGTCCTTAGACACACTCCATTATAGTTTTCCTCTGTGGCATCATCGATTCATTCTCGCTCGCGATCTCATCGATGAAAAGAGTAACCCCTTACGACCAGTGAATTTTGTGAGCACGTTCATCTACCATCCCGTCGACCGCGGATTCGTTATTGAACCTAGGATCATTGTCATTAGTTTCTCGAGTACCTAACTACCACGGTTACTTGTCCGGTTCTATAATAATCGTATTTGCACTAGTCAATGTCTTCTCTATTGCATAACGACAACGTGTAACCCAAACGAAGATTCGTTTCACGCCTCTAACCCTAATTCTAATGTAAACCCGACACATATTTTACTAATATGTCTCTAATTTGGATTTAATATCTGAAACTTGAAAGTAATTTTTAAAACTTTCAACACATCGCATACGTTTCAAATTTAGTGCATAGTTCTTAGGTTACATTACCTTCGCTTTCCAAAGATTAATCTTAGTATATGGATTTAATGCATTATACTGTAACCTCTCTTTGTCTGAAAATTTTAGAAATTATCTATATGACCATAATCTTATTTCATGGTGGATATATTAGATTTGATGAACTATATTGTAATTTTATTTTATATTACTATCAGTAGTACAGTAAGTAGAAAGGTTACGTATATGCACTGTTATATAGTTCGAATAAGCATACATTTTTAATATTTCGCTTGTAACAACAATTTGTAATTCTGTAATTATCTATCTTCACATAATACTTAAAATTCGCATTTTAAAATCATAATGAACAATATGTTCATTCTGAAAATATTAGTTAAAATACTAGATTTTCTTAAAGAAATCATGTTTGTTGATGTACGCATATATACCTGTGCGCTTTAGTGTTCAAATTCTTATAGTTATCTGGTTTGAAAATATTCGGTTCATCAGTTCGTAAAATGTAAGAAAATTTTTACGGCGTTTGGTATTTCAATTTCTCGCGCGCATTGCATAGAAGCGAAGCCTCGTCGCCACAGCCAATCAAGAATCGGCTAGGCTCATTTCTAACGGGATACCACCATTTTACCGTCGAAGAGCGAGACTTTTTTTTGTTTTCCTCCATTGGTAGACTATTTGATCGTTTTTATTACCGGTGGCTTGTATCATAAACTTTTGAAACATAAGTTCGATATAAGTTTATTTAAATCTTTGATTTTGTTTCGTACAGTTCATTGATTAATTACAGGACTGAATAATGGAATAATTAGCATTCTATTCCATGCTTTTTCATACAGTAATGTTTAGTAACGTTTCATTTATGATATACAAATTTATGATATGACAATCATATATACTATATATATGT